CAATGGCTTTTATTTCTTTTGGAAGTTGTCTTATTTTTTCATCCGGAGTTGTAGATCTCAGGCAACCTTTTTGAAACGTCGCACGCATCCAATAGTTAGTAATAAGGCTTGAATTATTAACTTGACTGATAATTATGGAGTATCTCTGGGCAACACCGATTACTATAAATTGGAATTTCTCTAATGGTTTAATAATCGTCCCTTCAGCCTCTATTATTTGAATAAGATGATCGTCGACCGAGAATAAAAATGACGACATGGCGCTACATAAACGTATCCGTGATTAGTTTAGATGATAAAATGAATTTTTGTATCTTAAATAATAAGATCAACACCTCGCGTTAATTAGTCGAATCCGGACTTTTTTTCCACGTTCGAAAATAAATTCCGAGAATCTTTCGTTAGACGCACATCCATACTGATAAGGACATTCTCCATTCTTTCCATTAATCAGTCCATTATCCGGAACAGGCTTCGATATTTATAATGCTTAAAGTTCAAAATGAAAAGGAAAATTCTAAAATAATATATTCTTGATTTACATACCTCAGGTATTTCATCGTGGTAAAGTGAACCCAAGGGGATGTTGCTATAATATTCATTTCTTAGTATAGAAAACTGATTATAATAATAATCGGCCATTATAATTGTTTTCTCATCATCATATTCGAAGATTTTTTGGTCATTGGGATCCTTAACAATAAACGGGCCATGTAGTCCGTCTACTAATTGTCCCGAGTGATGTGCATGACTATTTTAGGGAAAGTGTAGATTATAAAAACATACTCCTTATAGTTTACGCTTTGCGTACAGTATTATCAAATAATACTCATACTCACTACCAATGAGTTCCAGAATTATTTGCCACAAATTCATAAGCGAAAGATTGACCGCCTGAGATAGGGCATTGAGTTACCGTTGATACTCCATCCATGAAGGGTGTTTTAGGTTGATCGAATCCATGCCAATGTACTGACGTACCACCTTCGAGAAGATTATGCACCCAAACCTTAACCTTTTGGCCTTTATAAACAGAAATCTCTGGACCAGGATACTGTTTATTAATAGTCACTACTTTCTTAATAATGCTACCGAGTATTTTGGTTTCATTTCGAATATAAAGATTTATTACAAATGTTTCGTTTAAATATGCACTTGAGTATGTGGGTATAGTTTCGGGGATATTTAAATTTGTATTTGAGTAGCTGTATATGTCGATTGTGCTTTCAGAAATTGGAATGAAGTATATGATAAATTTAGCCAAGACGATGACTGTTATGTAACAAACTAAATTTTTTATATTTTTCATTTTTGTGGTCAGCTGCGATGACGACAAGCCTATATTTAAGCAATTGAGCAAAATGCGTTTATTTACAATAAGGCTTGGAAGGTTTTTTGCAAAAAAAAAAAAAATCGTTTGATAAATTTGTGGCGTGGATGAAAGACGCGGTTTATTTGTGGCCAATAATAACAACAAGAGGGAGATCAATTACATATCAAAGTTATCAAGGCAGAAAAAATGTTGGAAAAGGTAAGGAAACAGAATACAGTATAAACGAAATTAATATTCACCGGCGAAAAATTATTAATAGGTGTAGAAGAAACATCACTGTATTGTCAATGTATAGTCAAAAAGTATACCATATTTTTATTAATTTAGAGATTATTTCCATTTCCTATTACAATATATTATAAAAAAATCGAGAGATAAAAAATTTCACAAGAAATTTATTAATTTATTATTCTTTTACCTCTAGTTACTGTGATTGCTGCGTATAAAATAATTTGTTAAATGGGTTGGTAAACCATGCTCTGAGAAAAAATCCTTATTTGGAGATATCGAAGATTATCAATTTAAATTTACAGGGTGTTTCAAAAAAATCTGCAAAAAAAATTTTTTTAGTTGAAATTTTTATAATTATTAAATAAGTATTTATTTAAAAAATTTTTTTAATTTATATTTTAAAAAATATAGATTTATTAAATTTTTTAATTAAATATTTGTTATATTAATATTAATATTTTTTTTTAAAAAAAAATATTTAATTTATTATCTTGTTCTTTTATTTTACTTTTTAAAATCTTTTGTTTAAAAAGCAAAATCTATATAAATATATAAATATATTACTTTTTTTTAAACAGAAATTAAATAGAAACTAAAAGTACAATATAAAATTTTTATTAAAAATAAAAATATCAAATTAAATTATAAATTAATTATTAAAGTAGTTCTAAATAAAATTATTCTATAGATATCAATTTAATTATATTTAAATTTATTATTTTTTTTTAAATAATTTTTGTTAAGTTACAAATAAAAATATAATTGTGGTTTTTTTTGCAACACCCTGTATATTATTCTCACTCAGATCTTTATTCAAAATAATAATTTATGAAAAAACATATGGGAATAGTGCTATAATTCTTATAAGTCGTATTTTAACAACAAATAATTCATAATGCAATACTACCATAAGGCTTTTAGCTTCTTTCCTAAAGTATGAATTTTATAACTTCATATAGTTTTGAAATATTATGAAATTACTTTTATTTTCTGAATTCGGATTTTATATGTTTTGAGTTCAATGATATTATATTAAAAGAAAAAATAATAGAGAATCGAGATCTGGACTTGTAATAATAAGATCAGTAGTCTAATGAAAGTTGAAAAGCAAGTCATCAAGCTAATACAAATAGTTAATAAGCAAGTTTTCAAGCAATCATGTTCCTTTATTGTATTAATTACTTATTTATTTTCTATTTGGTTTCTTATATAGAGATTAAAAAGCAAGTTACCAAGCCGCCAGCATATTAGTTGATAAGTAAGTTTCAAGCAACTATTAATGTCGACTTAAATATTTTCCTAGTTTTTGTTTTTGTTTTGTTTTGTTTGTGTTTTTCTTTTCTTTCTTTCTTTTTTTTTTTTTGTTTTATTATTTTAAGGGTGGATAGGATTTCACATAAAAAAGCCAGATAAAAATTGGGCAATGAAGAAATTAAGCATTAAAAATCTTTTTTTCTTCCACATAATCTAATAATCAATCTATTGTTACATGATCAGTGATCTTCACAATAATAAACCTTGCATGACTATGTTATGCATTGGGTCACTATTCTCGCTCAGATCTTTATTCAAAATAATCATTTATGAAAAAACATATGTGAACAAAAAGAGAATTGTTTAATACTTAGTATTTTTTTTTAAAACTCTATTAGTGTTGTTGTGTTTTGTTTTACAATCAAAAATAATCTAAGATATAGTACTACAGATTGCGATAACTATCCTCCAATACTCATTATTTGTGACAAACTTAATCCTGCCTTCATTGCTTCTGCTGCTTCATCTATGCATATACTATGGCCAAAAAACTTTCCTTCCAATTTTGCATGTTTTGTTATTCACTTTACTACTGCATTTACTGCTCCTGTTATTATACTGTACATCCTCTATTTATACTAAAAAATAATGATTCTTGATTATTTAATTCACTTTTTGTTTCTAAATACTTAAATAATAACTTTATAGGACAATAATAGAAATCTGTGAGTTCAATAGGAATAAATTTTCCTTTTGCATATTGGTCTGTCTTAGATTTATTTATTCTAATCCAACATACTCTATTTATAATCTTTAAATCTGTTACACATAAGTTGCAAAGTTCAGAAGGACATCTCATAGCACAAATTTCTAAAGCAATTAAAGCACAATTATATTTTCACAATATATTTGATGTCCCTGGATATGGATTGTCAACATAATACTTTAATGTACTTATTGGAAGAGGATCTCATGGCCAGCTTGCCTCATGATTAATTGCTTCCAATTTTTTTAGTTTTTTAATAAGATTTTGCACCTTTATATTTGATATTGAATCAGAAAAATTTCTTTCTAAATAATATTTTTTAATAGCAACTAAATACAATTAAGATTTCTAATTCTTGCTAACATATTGTTTCATATTAAAAACATTAAAATAGAATTTGGATAAGTTGGATATGAAGTTAATCTATGTGATTTGCAAAAGGTATTGAGGTTTGTCCATAATGCCAATAAATGTTTTTCATAAGATGATTCAAGTAAAAGAAGCTTATATGCTTTTTCTAATAATATATCTAAAAAGAGATTCTTATTGCTTGAAAACTCTAATGTTGATTTTCCAAGGTTCTGGTATCAGATTTTTTTCTGATCCAAGTTGAAAACTTTGTATTGCTGGTGGTAAATCCAGAAATTCTGTCTTTAATGTCATTAGAATTGGTTACCATGGTGCTGATGATCACGTTGATATAATTATTGTTATTTTTGCTTGATCTTGTATTTCATACTTGATTATTCTATATATTAGAATTAATGAAAGACAAATATACATTGCTGAAACTGCCCAATTTTTATAAACATCACTACTTAATTGCCACTTAATAGTTACTTAATAGTCAAATA